GCAGATAAGTTTATCCTAGGAAGGTAGAAAAACACAAATACCAGGAAGCAACCAACATGGATTTATATGAGTGAAATGTGGCAATTTTTTTTCTATGTTGGAGTAAAAGACCACACAAAGGAGAAGCAATGAATTCATGTTGATATCAGTAGAGCTTCAGACCCCATTTGATCATACTCTAATCAATCAATTAGGGTCTAGGAATGGTAAGTGAAACACATACTTAAGGGTTAAACAATGACTAAACTACCAGTCACTGGGGAAACATTTCAAATAGTGTCCCTATTACCAGTTCTCTTAAATTCTTTCAGATGATCCAAATCATTTGAATTCCTTTACTTTGGTCTCTTTTTCCATAAAGTCCTTTCTACAAGTACCCCAGAAATGCAAAATTTTCCTACTTGAGATTCACTTTCTCCATGTTGTTCAGGTCTTCTTTCTCCTTCCCTTAGCAAATAGATATTTACATGGCAGTCATAGAGCTACATGTTTTGGCAGAAAGATTCTATACTTGAATTGGACAGAAATCTAATTTATGTGGGGAATCTGGGAGGGGCAGAGGGAAGGTTTGCTTTCTTCCACAGTTCAGATGGCACATTTTTGTGAATGTGATAAAAGTATCTTTTCTTCTCCCACTAGGAAGTAATTAAAAGGCTACCTGCCTGGTGTTACCAGTATTTAAAATGTAACTGTTCATATAAGCAAATGAGATAAGCCATTTAAGATATCAGAAGTAGAGAGACCATAGAGATCCCAGCCATGTAGATGAGGAAGACAGCATAGCCATTAGACTACTGTCAATGCAATGTTTTGATAGATCCTTACACTGATGTGAGTACTTCCTTCAAAGTACAGTCACCTAATGTCTTCTCATCCTATGGGGCACTTGACCATGACCTCCTGTAAATTCTCCACGGTGGGCACATTCAATGTGCTAAGAGAATTTCTCTAGATAGCCGGGCACCACATGGGTGTGGGCCATCTAACACTCCTGGCAAATGATTGGCCTGTTTTCTTTTCCAATCATATAACTCTCTCTGATGCTATCACATCTGGTAAAGACACCTCTAGAACTATACCAAGTATTGGAATTGGATAGCTGTTATCTTCAAACTATAAAGCACCCCTTTTTCCAATCCTTAAACTACCTGCTATAAAAAGAAGTCTAGTCACTAGAACTACACTTTCAGTACCAGGCACTTAGGAAAAATCTCACACGTCAAATAAGCTGGATAGAGGGGTAAGACTGTTCTCAATAGCATCAATCAAAGTCATAGCAGAAAGGAAGGAACTCTAAGGAAGTTAGCTTCTCCTTATCCCTTCCCCATAGCAGCAGGATTCCCATTCTGTCACAGTATTCTCTTGTAAGAAAGAGATTTAGCAAGTCTGAAAAAGTTGTCATATTTTTAAAATATTACATTTTATAACTGGAAATAACATAGGCTTATTCTACTGAAACTGTAATCAATAATTTGACATATCTAAGTAATAAAACTGAGATACTAGAAACGTCACTATTTAATAGTCACATTTTAGTTTCAGATTCTATTATTTATGAGTTCTCAGTTATTCCAATGAAAAGCTATGCATGCCATTTAATTACTCAGCTTGTTCACATATAAAAATGTGTTTCTAAAGGAATGAGGATGATTTACTTGTATGGATGTTAGAATCAATCATCAGAATCATGCCACTCATATTAGGACATTTGTTTTGAGGATCAAGTTGGTCCATATTCAAATATTTTCGGTCCATCTATGTCTGTGACCAGCTATATACATTTTCAAGAGCAAAAGGTAAGAGCAATACACTATATGGAAGGTGATAAGCCCTAAAGGTGATGTGAGGAGGAGGAGGACAGGAAAAGGGCGTCCTGTGTGCCAGGCATTGTGCTCAGTGCTTTACAGATAATATCTCATTTTCTACTGAGACTACAAAGTAGTCTCACTAGTATAGTTCTAATTGCCTGACCTAGCCAAAAACAGTTATTCATTTCAATCAGTATACGTGGCATATATGTTTGTTTATCCATGTGGATTAGAGAAAAACCAAATTATAATTTATTTTCATGAAAATTGATTCATAAATATATTTACTTTTAGATGAAGGGTGACATTCAATATTCAAGTGCATTATTCAGGGGTGAAAATTATTCTCTGGCTCCCACACCAAACTTCAACCCAGACTGTCTACTAAAAATAAACCTCAAATTCAGATAGATATAATTTTTTTTAAATGTAGTTTAAATAAATAAGCAGATAATTCAGACAGATATGCATTGCAGACCAGGATTTATATTAGAAACAAAGATGGAAAGCCAAGTAGTCTTTCAAATTATTATATGTGACTGAATTTTCTCCAGTGCTCTGCTCACCTGCAGCACATCAGACAAGGTAATAATTTATGATAATCACATGAAAATATACAATTAATATTCATCACCTCTCATTTCTCATCACTTTAGATGATCAGTAATGCAGAGTAAAAATGCTGTCAGATTTCTAATTGCTTTGTAATGGGCTCGAAACAGGGAAATCATTAAAGGCAAACAATCTGTCATTTGTCTGTTACTTTAACTATCACTAAAAAAGGACTCATTAAAGAAATTGCTAATGAGCTACAAAAGACTGTACTCAAGGTACTTCTGCAGTACATTTTAAAAACAATAATGTAAATTGCTTAAATGATTCCCAAGATATATTATAATTTTTGTGAAAATTCATCAGAAAACATTTTTTCGGTGCATTTTTAAAAGCTGTTTGGTTTCATTATTTTGACATTTCATCCATCATTCCAATAATCACTTTAGGAGCCAAGCCTTTTTTTCATTAGCCTCTAAGTAACTAAACTAAGAGGCTGAAAAAAAGAAGCCAAAACACAAAATTTGTTACTTGTAAAGTGACACCCATTTAAAAAGGAGGGTTGGGGGTTACCAGAATACAGTCAACAGTAAACATTTGACTTTGATTTTTCTTGTATCAACTTCTGTCAGCTTTTAATATTTGAAGGTGCGATGTTATATATATGGCTTCCTTTTCAATTACTGCTTTTGCATGAAAGGCTTTTATCCAGCTTTAAATATTGAGAGGCAAATCTTCACAGTATGAGAATTTTTTAAAGAAAAAAGGCAGCTCAAATAATCTTGATACATTTTGTATTTCTATTTTAATGACAGGATTGCAAAACTATATTGATGTTTTGTTAAATGAAATATATTTTGTTCTTGCTGGACATACAGAGATGAAAAGAATGCTTTTTAGTGGCATCACATCTTGGAGAATAAAACATGACAGTTTTACAAGTGGACATTGATATTACTAATCATGTTTGATTATCATGTGATGATGAATTCGACTTACTGTATCAAGAAATATAAGATTCATTAGTAAAAGTTGAGCAACATAGTGCCTTTTACATAGACACAACTGAATAAAAATCTATTGAATTGTTGATTTAAGTAGACATATTCACTAGAAACTACATAAAGCACAAATAAATAAAATGGCACATTTAATCAATGGTTAATATACTCTAGAGTGAATCTAAAGCTAACTTCAAAAGGTTTCATAACACCCTGGAAACATCTTCATTATACTCTCTAATTGACTTAAACAGACTTCATATCAACTGTTTAACACATTTTAACCTACAAATTAACACCACTTGTTCATTCAGATTAACCTTTCATCTGTGAGCCAATTATGTGACAAAAATAAAATCAACTTTTTTAAAAATTCAGGTTTAAATTATAATAACTAAGAATAAGTCAGGAGGAGGGGAGAGGTTTCGAAACAGAAAGAAATGTTACACATCATAAGCAGCCAGAAGAAAGCATCACAAGATCAGAAGAAAAGTTCTAGAATAATTGGAAAGCTCAGAGAAAAGCCAGAGAGAACTAATGAAGCCAAAGAAATCACAGATCACACAGAAACAGCAGTTAGAGGCTCTTTGGTTTTGTTTTTTTCTTTAGCATGTGTATTTTCATCTGAACGGGTCTTAAGTCAGTGTACAGGTAAAGCTCTTCCCCTCCCCCAATGTACTGACACCAATCTCACAAAACTCGCAAGGAGATTGTGAAGTCTTTATTCACATCTATGTTGGAGACAGGGAGGGAATTTAGGGAACCATTCATTATGGCTCTGGCAAAAAAAAAAAAAGAACAAGTATTAAGGTAGAAGATACAAAGAGGTTTCCCCCCCCTTTAAAGAAATTATGTAATTTACATGTAAAGCAATACTAGTACCTTCCCCCACCCACCTCTCCATCTGGATTTTCCTTACCAAGCTCCTTTGCACAGGACAGCCTTCATAGAGACAAGTAATTCTCTGTAATAATGCATTATACAATATTTGGAATGACTATTAAAAAACCCACAAATGTGCAACTAGAGTCCCTGAAGACACACTGTACTAGAACTCTAGGGTTGTTTGCCTCCAACATACTTAGACTGCTTATCACCTTCACTGTTCCAGTTTTTAAATCCTGGGTCAAGTGCCAAAACAAAAAACAAATAAAGCCACGTCAATCTTCTTTCTTTGGGGAGGGGGGAGGGAGCAATTATCATGTCACACTCTTTGACAAAAAAAGGAAGAAAAGATAACCAAACCCATAACTAGCCCATTTAGAAGCATTTGCAGTAGACAATGGAGGACTCAGATTCATCATACATTCATAATCATACTCCCGCTTGCTGATCCACATCTGCTAGAAGGCAGAAAGAGACCCCAGGATGGAGCCTCCAGTCCAGACAGAGTATTTGTGCTCAGGTAGGGCAATGATCTTGATTTTCCTTGTACTGGGGGCTAGGGCTGTTATCTCCTTTTGCATTCTGTCAGCAATGCCTGGACACTTCCAAGCCATGGGCTCTATCCACTGGCCCATCTCACTGTCTCTGGTTTCCTAATCATCTACAAAATAAGGGAGTTGGCCTGGATGGTTTTAAGGTCCTGTCCAGCCATAAGTCAATAATACCATGAGGGAAAGGATATGAGCAGAAAGCCATGGAGGTGGAGAAGTCTCTCGTGGAACAGGACGAAGGCATGAGGGAAGGTCAGAACACATCGAGTAAGATTATCTAGTGTGGATGAAGTTGAAAGTCAATGAATAAAAGTACTGTGAAGTAAAGTTGAATGAAATACAGGGGCCAAATCATGGGAGGCTTTCAATATCAGGATACGGAATTTCTATTTTACCCTATAGGCATTTGGAAACCACTGACGGTCTGGGAGCAAGAAAGGCAAAAAATGAGGCCTGGGCAGCAGTGCCAAGGTTATATTACAGAAGGCATATACTGGTCCACTTGGAAAATGCAAGATTTGAAGTTTCCAAGTTCTTCTGTTCCAGGGTCTCATCATGGTGGCACAGCAGAGAAACCGGCTATGAAGGCTATGCCAGTGGAACATGAACTCTGACAAAATCTACTACACTGAAAAGCTTTCAAATCTGATCCCAGAAACAGACTAAGTCTGCTGTCCAAGGACTGAATGAGCCAAATATGGAAAGGCTCATACTACATAGCCTGACTGGAACCTAATTAATTCTTTAGCCATGAAAACCCATGAAACAAAGAAAAATAAATAAATGGCCTGTGCAGGCAGATACCTATTCCACTTCCACAGTGGTGGTAAAGGAGTGACAAAAGAGCATTAACTTCACCACATGCAGTTTAAATGTGAGACCTTTGTCTAATGACTAATAAATGAACATGCTGTTGGAAACACATTATTAGTAACAGTCTTGAGATGAATGCAACAAGGAGGAAGAAGGAAGTTGCAACTATATAGAAAGATGTTTCATAGTTTCAGCTTAGAAAGGCAAACAGAAGGTAGAGCCAAAGGAGTGGGATAGAGACAGCAACCCAGCTGAATTCTCGCAATACTCCTCTCCAAACAGCTTTAAAATAATTCCTCAAATCGAATTCTGGAGTGGCAAAGCCAACAAAAAGTCGGGATGAGACATTTTTCCAGTCTAAGACAAACTAGGAGATCAGTAGGAGAGCTCTGTGACAATGGGGTAAGAGCTAGCCTAGAGCACATGCTGTGGCAGCACCGGTGGTAGGTCTTGGAGGTAGCTGAGACAGTAGAAGCAGCAGCTTTGGGAGCTCTCAGCCCAGAACTCTCACCCCAGAGAAGCTAAGTGGACCCAGACAACTGGTTAGAAAGAGATTACAGGGGACCCTTTGCTGGCACTGGGCACAGGACTGGGTGTCATGGCAACTCGATTCCTTACATGCAGTTCCAGGGTGGACAGGAGTGCTTCTGGTTGGTCACAAGGGATTGGAGACTCTGGCCTCAGTTCCAAGGCATAGAGAGGCATTAGGACTTGCAGCTGCAGAGGAATAGGGGCCCTTCCTTGGTAAAGACCAGAGTGCAGCCCAGGAGAGGTGTGACCATACCTCCCCCAGGATCACAGCACCTTGGAAGCACCAAAAACTTGCAGACCCCCAAAACTAACTCTGAAAACAGTAGCACAAAAAAGTTTGAAGCTTGGCACAGTGCCTCCCTATTCCCAGGTAAGCAGAGCCCAACTTTAATATGAAGTTCAAAGTCAAGAAATAGGCTAGGGGGCAGCGAGGTGGCACAGTGGATGGAGCACCTGCCCTGGTTTGAAGGACCTGAGTTCAAATGAGACCTCAGACACATAACACTTACTAGCTGTGTGACCCTGGGCAAGTCACTTAACCCCACTGCCTTAAAAAAAAGAAAGAAATAGGCTAAACCAATGAGCAAACAACAAATAAAGAACTTGACCATTAAAAAAAACTGTTATGGTAGCAAGGAAGAGCAAGACACAAACTCAGAAGACAAAGTGAAAACAGCTACAACCAAAATCTCAAAGAAAAGTGCTAAAGGAAATAAGCCCAACAAGAATTCCTGGAAGAATTTTTTTTTTTTTTAAAGGAATGAGTGGTGAGAAAAATTGGGAAAAGAAATGAAAGTGATTCAAGAAAATTGTGAAAAGAGAATTAACAGCTTGGTAAAAGAGACACACACAAAAAAAATGCTGAAGAGAAAACACCTTAAAAAACAGAATTGGCCTAAGGGTAAAAAAAAGTCACAAAGATTCACTAAAGAAAAGAATTTCTTAAAAAGGAGAACAGGCCAAATGGGAAAAGACATGCAAAAATTTACTGAAGAAAATAACTCCTTACAAAGCAAAATTTGTTGCTATTCAGTCGTTTCAGTTATGTCCAATTCTTTGTGATCCCATTTGGAGTTTTCTTCACAAAGATACTGGAGTAGTTTGCCATTTTCTTCTCCAGCTCATTTTACATACAAGAAAACTGAGGCAAACAGGGTGAAGTGACTTCCCAGGATCACACGGCAAGGAAATATCCGAGGTCAAATTTGAACTCAAGTCTTCCTAACTCCAGGCCTAGTGCTCTATCCACTAAATCACCGACCTGTCCAAAAGCAAAATTGGCCAAATGGAAAAAGAGGTACAACAGCTCACTGAAGAAACTAATTCCTTAAAATTAGAACTGCACAATTGGAAACTAATAACTCTATGAGACATCAAGAAACAATAAAACAATGTCAAAAGGATGAAAAATACAAGAAAATGTGAAATGCCTCATTGGAAAAAAACTAACTGAAAAAGTAGATCAAGGAGAGATAATTTAAAAATTATTGAATTATTTATAAACCATGATAAAAAAGGGGTCAGGAGAAAACATCATATTTCAAGAAATTATTAAGAAAAACTCCTATGATATCCTAGAACTAGAAAGTAAAATAGAAATTAAAGGAATCCATCAACTTATTGCTAGCAGCTTCTCTCAGAGTTGATAAGATTTGATGACCCTGACTAAATAGAAAGTCCCTAGAAAATTCACAGATGACAACTTAAGAGGTCTATGGTACTCCCCCTCCTGCCTCACCTCCTCCCCTGGCTGTCCCCTTGCAAAAGTAAGTTATTATTATTATTATTGTTATTATCCATTTTCAAAGTAAAATATACCCAATAAAATCCTTAACAGTTTTCACGCTGTGACCACATTCTTTAACAGTTCAATTCATAATCTAACAACATCCTGATTAAAATAAAAGTTATTTTTCTAATGACACAATGGTAACATCCTCTGAGTGTCATTTTTTAAATTAACAGCATTGCTTATATAATGATTTCTCAAACTTCACAATGGAAGAAAACTAGAAATTTAACAATAACAGAAATAATGTTACACATTTTAAAAATACAACACAAAACATTTTGTCAAGCAAGTAACATCAATGCATTTGAATGCATTTCCAAATCCTCTCATATAGAAAATCACTTCATTCACCTATCAATCTGGCATTCTATACCAATCGAATTTGAAGCCAGTATAGAATAATTACACTTAATAATCATAATAATAATAGCCAATATTATAAAGTGCCTAGTATGTGACAGATACTATACTAAGTGCTTTACAATTACTATGTCATTTGACCCCTATGACAATCCTGGGAGGGAGGTGCTATCATTTTCCCATTTTACAGACAAGGAAACTCAAACAGAGGTAAAATGACTTGCTCAGTGTCAAGCAGCTAGTAAGTTTCTGAGACTGAATCTGAACTAAGGTTTTCCTAATCCACGCTGTTTCCAAGCTTATTGCCTTAATGCCAAATATCAAATGTATTTTGTATTAAATTCTGATTTACCATAGTTATCTTGATAGGAGAACACATCTTACTTTAAATGAGACCAAATTATATAATTTAGTTTCAGGATATACTTCAATCAAATCACATCTGGATTTACAATCACAAATGGTAATCACCTTCAAAGATTTATAGTAGCAGTTTCATTTCCTATCCCCCTCTTTTTGAAGCCCAGGAATCTCTAAGGATTGGGACATGCCCTTCTAATCGTCCTTCAAGAAAAGAATTTTAGTCTATCATACTCAAATAATTCCATGCTATAAATTTATTTCTAGTTTCCATTTAGTATTGTCTATCTGAAATTGCTAACAGCCATTCCTCCAAAAAGCTTCTCATATCTTCCTTATCTCAACGAGATAAAAGAGCTTCTCAAACCTTTTCTTCCAAAACTCCAAACCCTTTACTTTCAAACCTTCCATTTACAATGTCACCTTTCTTGTTACATTCTGATTCCCTATTTCACTTTGTCTTTGTTACTTTTCTTATGCCCATCTTATCTTCTTTCCAATCATATTCTAGTCTAACATTCCAATGAATCTCTCTTGTACAGATTTCCTTATGTGATACCAACCAATTGCTAAAATTTTACTTCTCAACTTACATAGCCTATTTCAATTTAAGTGACTTAGCTATTAGTTTACCCAAACAATTAAATTTGTTGAATCATTTCAAATTAGGTTCAGTTCTGCTTATTCTCTAGTAGGTGTAACAACTTTCTACTAAAACAATATCACCCTCCAGGAAGGTGAGAGAGGTGTAATTTTAATCCTCGCTACAAACATCCCAAAATCCACTAAGATGTTTTAGCAGTTATAAAAACCTTTAAGCTATAATTTGGAAATTTACAGTAACATTTTCAGTTCCAAACTGTAGTTTCTAATTATTTTAAAATGCCACAAATTTCTACAACCAAGGAAAAAAAAGGTTTCCTTTCTTTTCTTGTCTGTCTTTATCACTACAATCTCCAAACTGACCACAGTTGTGAAGGCAGGGAAAAAGAAAGAAAGAAAGAAAGAAAAGTTTTCCTCATCTCCACTGAAAGTGTAATCAAAAAGGCCAGTGGAAAAGTTCCAGCTCAATATCAAAGATAGCTGGGAGAGCTGGTTTATTAGTCTTTAGTCATTATTATGGGTGAATAGGTGTTCTCCTTCCAAGTTCTCCAAGGTAAATAAGACCTTGTTCCTACTAGAGAACTCTGGAAGTGGAAGCCACTATCAAAGCCCACCTCACTGCCTGCCAAATACAAGCTTCCCTCACTAACATAGGGTCATCAAGAGGGAATCAGTGTAGAACTAATTCCCATGTTCACCAAAATATCTAAGAGGCTAATGGCCAGTCACAGAGCAGATATCTTGGAAGAGCAGAGGAGAAAGGCAAGAAGAGAAAGAAAAGCCCAAAAGGAAGAAACCCTACCAGAGAAAGGACCAATCTGATTTTAACCAGATTATTTTTTTTTTAAGTAGCTGCTTACCAGGTCCTTGAGTGATCAAGTCAAAGTGATTACTTTTTGACAGATTAGGGTGGCCTGGGCTAAATCTAATCCCATTCAAGCCTTTCCCTGGGCTAACATCAAGAACAGCCCCTTAATAATATTGGACCCCCACAGTTAAGGCCTGGAATGTGTCTGACCTGAACCTGGCAGGATTCACCAGGTTCTTGACAGACTGATTCACTCCCGCATTAATTGGGCCTTCCCATGCTCAATCCCAGGTGTCAAAGACCTTCAGGCTCCCAGGACCAATTGGCAGGATCCCACCACTACCGCCAGAATTGTTATTCATGAGAACCAACCCCAAAATCTGAAATAGTTTTAGAAAGAAATTCATTAGATCAATTGGAAGAGGAAAGCAAGCCAGAAAGAAGGTATGGTTCCTTCTTGTCCAGGCTCTAGGTTAGATTACATAGAATTCAAACAAGGGTATAATAATGAGTTTTCCAAATAATATGATAAGACATTTTCCAAATCATCAAAACCATTATACGTGTAACTGGACTTATCACTTCCAGTCTCCCTTCTCCGTCCCTCCCATAGTTACTAAAATAATCTACCCAAGAATTGCTCTGACCATATCACTCCCTACAAGCTCCTTCGTGTGGCTAATTAACACTAAGGCCTACATCCCGGTGCAAAAATCCGCTCCCAACTTTCCTTTCTGTGTCTATCCCGCGTTACCGCCACACACTCTACATCTCAGTCAATTTGTGCCACGAGCAACGCGTTCCTCAAACTATCCATGCCGCAGCCCACTTTCATGCATTTTGTGCAGGCGAGTCCTCCACCCGTGGAACACACTTGTTCCTGTTTGAAAATTTCAAGATGCTTGTCTTTGAAGGAGGCAGACATTTCAACACCCTTGGGAAAGAGGAGAAGAGTGCTGGACTCCTCCCTAGTCTCCTCAATCTTCCCCACGACCAAAGGCAGAACTTGGGGACTCTGAAAGGTGGTTGTCCTAGCAAAACCACTGGAACAACTGACGGGAGGGGCGGATTAGAATTTGAAGACAAACTAGACGCACGGAAGAAAGGCAGCTTCAAGAGTCTAGGAGGAGACATCGGTTGGGGGGGGCGGCAAGAAAAATCAACTACATCATGCCTAAAGGGAACTTTATGGGGATTTAGAAAAAGGAGAAAAGAGCTTCCAGCAACCAGGAGATATGAGATACCAAACCTGATCCCATCTTCCCCTGGAGTCTGTGTGTACTTGTGGGAGAGTGCGACCCTAGTTTAGGGGGAAGTTGTGTACCAAACGCAACAAACACTATGAGATCTTAGTAAGTACCTGTTTCTAAAAGCTAATTGAGTTTGGTTGAATAACTGATAATAACTAATAACCACTAGGAGAAGCACATGGCTAGGAGCTCAGGAGCTTTATATAGGATTAGAAATCCACTCCACCCCCAACCCAGGAGTGTGCTACAGTCAGCTTCAACTGGCTTGCCTCGCTCAGAGCCAATTGTTAAATTTTCTGTGTGAGCATTCACACCAACTACAAATCAGAGCTTCACTGATCGTTTTGTGGATTGTCTAGACTTTCAAAAGTGTTAAAAATGTACATTGAGCTTAAAAGTATATATGTGTACTTTTTTTTTTACTTCAGACTATCCAGTCGTAAAATATTTACTAGCAAAGCCCTGCTTTGAGGCAGCTAGGTACTGTAATGAATAAAACACTGGACCTGGAAGCAGGAGGACATTTATTCTCTCTCAGCCTCAGTTTCCTCACCTGTAAAATGGGGATAACAATAGCACCTACCTTACACAATTGCTGTGAATATCAACTGAGATATATTTCAAGGTGATTTGCAAATCTTAAAAGTGCTATATGAATGCTAGCTTATAATTGACATTATTCATAATTATATATTATAAACTATAAGTATAGCAATTATATATTTATCATGTGTTCTATATTATGTATTTATTATTATAACATAATTATGCCGTATAATCACTGCTTCAGCTCAGCAGGAGCACTGCAGATGGCTTAAGGAATGAAATCATCACCAGACTGGAGAACTGATGAATAAAGGATGATAAGGATAATGATAATGATGATGATGATGATGATGATGATGATGATGATGATGAAGATGATGATGTTAAGTGGTATTTCTATAGCACTTTAAGGTTTGCAAAGTGCTTTACATCCTTTAGCTTATTTAAGGCTCATAGCACCTCTCACCCAACCCCTCTTTATCACCCCTAGGACTTTGAGGAGCAGCCAAGCCCTGCTCAGCTCAAACTCTACCTTCTGGAAGAGGCCCTTCTCCTTGTGTTCTTGGTGCTGTGTCCTTGACCCACGATATTGTGCTCTCTGGGTTACCATTTATTTAATCTAAGTGCTTTCTAATGTCCAGTTAAATGATCATCCCATAGAAGCATAGAAGTTGAGAGTTGGAAGAAACCTTAAAGAACACCTAGTCTATTCAGGTCTTTATGATTTTATATACCGTACTGGAATATTTACTTTTATACAATAATTCCCTAATTCTTGAATACTCTTAGTTTAAGAGATTTAGACTATTGCTGAAATGTCAGATTCACAGAGTTCTAACAAAAATTCTTTCCACATTTCTAGCATGTATTAATTCTGTCATAAAATAGTTTAAATGTAAAGTGTTCTGCAAACATTAAAGTGCTATATTCACTATAATTATCACAAAAATTAGTCAAATCAGGGCTTTGGGAGGATCTCTTAGAGATCCCCATTCAGGACCACAATTTAAAAATTCCAGATAAATGAGTTCCCCAATCTTTAAAACCATTTCTATTCTCTAACTACCATAATTATCAAGAAGTCATTGATTAATAACAAAAATGACAATTCTACCTAAATTGACTTATTTATTCAGTGTCATACCAATCAAACTACCAAAACATTATTTTATAGAGCTAGAAAAAAATAACAAGATTCATCTGGAAGAACAAAAGTTCCAAAATATCAAGGCAACTTAATGAAAAGAAATGCTAGAGAAGGTGGCCTAGCCATACCAGATCTTAAATTGTATTACAAAGCAGCAATCATCAAAACTACTTGGTACTGGCTAAGAAATAAAGTGGTGGATCAGTGGAATAGGTTAGGTACACAAGACACAGTAGTCAATGACTATAGTAATCTACTGTTTGCTAAACCCAAAGACCCCAGCTTCTGGGGTAAGAATCACCTATTTAACAAAAACTGCTGAGAAAACTGGAAAAGAATATGGCAGAAACTAGGCATAAACCAAAATCTTACACCCTATACCAAAATAAAATCAAAATGGGTACACAATTTAAATATAAAAAGCTGATACAATAAGCAAACTGGGAGAGCAAGGAATAGTTTACCAGTCAGATTTATGGAGAACAGAAGAATTTATGACCAAACAAGAGATAGAGAACATTATGAAATGTAAAATGAATAATTTTGATTACACTAAATTGAAAAGTTTTTGCACAAACAAAGCCAATGCAACCAAGATTAGAAGGGAAGCAGAAAACTGGGAAAGAATTTTTACAGCCAATGTCTCTGATAAGGGCCTCATTTCTAAAATAGAGAACTAAGTCAAATCAAGTCATTCCCAATTGATAAATGGTCAAAGGATATGAACAGGCAGTTCTCAGATGAAGAAATTAAAGCCATCTATAGTCATATGAAAAAATGCTCTAAATCACTATTGATTAGAGAAATGCAAATCAAAACAACTCTGAGGTACCACATCACACCTAACATGAAAAACCGGAAAATAATAAATGTTGGAGAAGATGTGGGAAAATTGGAACATTAATATTGTTGGTGGAGTTGTGAAGGGATCCAACCATTTTAGAGAACAATTTGTAGCTAAGCCAAAAAGGCTATAAAAGTGTACATACCCTTTGACTCAGCAATAGCTCTTCTAGGGCTGTATCCCAAAGAGATCATACAAATAGGAAAAGGACCCACATGTACAAAAATATTTATAGCAGCTCTTTCTGTGGTTGCAAAGAATTGGAAATCATGGGGATGCCCATCAATTGGGGAATGGCTGAACAAAACGTGGTATATGAATGTAATGGAATACTATTGTGCAATAAGAAGTGATGAGTAGGCAGACTTCAGAAAAACCTGGAAAGACTTGTATGCACTGATGCTGAGTGAAGTGAGCAGAACCAGGAGAATGGCACGCACACCAACGACCATGTTGTGTGATGACTAACTTTGATAGACTTAACTCTTCTCCACAATGCAAGGATCTAAGATGTCTCCAAAAGTCTCATGATGGAACATGCTATCCACATCCAGAGAAACAACTATGGAATTTGCATGCAGATCAGTACATACCATTTGCTCTTTTTTTTCTTCTGTTTTGTTTTGTTTCCTCTTTCTTGTGCTTCCTCCTATTGGTTCTAATTCTTCCTTACAACATGAATAATGTAAAAAGATGTTTAACAGGAATGTATATGTATAGCCTATATCAGATTGAGTGCCGTCTTGGGGGGGGGAGAAAAATTTAAAACTCAAAAGCTTATGGAAGTGAATGTTGAAAGATAAAAATAAATTAATAATAATTTTTAAAAGTCATTGATTACATCTAATCTACATCTCACTCATCATGATAGCCACTTCTTTTAGTTCTGCTCTGGATAAAAGGACAGCTAGACTACATCTTCTCAATAATAGGGTGTCATGTATTTTGAAGGAAATTCATTTACTTATGTAATTGAAGCCTTAATTTGGGAAGTGCCAGGGAAGCAGCATTGGCATGGAGACCTTGGAAGACCTCTGCTTTTAGCATCCCTTCAGAGATCCGGCTTCTTGTGGCCTCCCCGGGCAGGGGCTGGACCGAGGTCCCCGCGCGCTCAGCCAACCACGGGCTGGAGGAAGAGCTGAGCCTGCGCAGTGGCCAGAGCGCCGAGGCCCTCGCGGGCCCGAAAGGCGTCTAGTTACCATGGAGACGGCGTCGCTATCGTCAGGATGTGACGTGTTTCTGGTGCTTCAGTCATTGTGGCCCGGCTGGAAACAAGGCTTCCTCACAGGCCAAGGTAGGTGGGGGTGGGGAAAGGAGATCTACTATCTACTTCCGCCGGAAAGGCTGGAGCCCAGCGGCCGGCGGCCCAAGCTTGTGTTGCTACGCCGCCGGGAGCTCCGGTAAGACGGCGTCCCAGTGGGGCGCGGGCTGGGCGGTGGCCTAGGGAGGCTGGAGGCCGCCAAAGAGCCGCGGGGCCGGTGGAGGGAATGCGGGCGGGCAGGGGACCCGGTCCTCAGGGCGTCTTCCGCTTCGGGGCCGGGTCATAGGTCCAATGCCTGAAGGTACCCAGCTGGTCCCACTCTCTCCCTTTACAGATGGGGAAACTGAGGCCCAGAGAGAGGAAGGGCTTTGGGAGGCTCCATTTTTGGAGGTCCCTGCCTTGGGTCTAGAGCTGGAAGATGCCAGAAAAACCAGCTGACCCCACCTTCTCGTTTTACAGATAGGGAAACCGAGGCCCAAAGAGAGGAAAATGACTTGCCTGTAGTGAGACAGGTAGGAAGTGGCTGAACCAGGATTCACACTCAGGACTCTGTGGTTAGCGAAGTAACCTTCACATAGATAGTTCCTGCTGTGTGCCAGGCACTGCGCTAAGAGCTTTGTAATTTCATCTCATCTTGTCCTACCAACATCCCTGGGAAAGAGGTGCTATTGTTATCCCCATTTTACAGATGAAGAAACTGAGGCAAACATGGGGTAAGTGACTCAACCAGGGTCACCCAGCTAGTAAGTGTCTGAAGCTGGATTTGAATTCAGGTCTTCTTGACTCCAGCCAGTAGCTCTCTTCACTGCCACCTCCCGGTTCCCCATGCCCTTCTGTCTTGACATCTCTGGTGGCCCTTCAGATACCTTTTCCATGGTGTTTGTCTCCCGTCATCATTTAGTCTTGATTAGGACAGAAATAATAGTTTCCAATAGTTTAAAAAAAAAAGTTCAGAGAGGATCCCCCAGTTTCATGATCATAGTCCACAAGCATTTATTTATCAGGGTAATATAGATTTATAAGGGCCCTGAGTCTTCATGGAGTCCAAACTCATTTTCTGAATGAGGTAACTCTCAAGAGTATATAAGTTTAGTGAGGCAGATGAGTAGTGCATAGGGTAGTGGGTCTTAGACGCCAGCTGCATGACCCTGGATGAGTCTGTTTCTTGCCTGCCTCAGTTTCCCCAGTTGTAAAATGGGAGTAATAGCACCTGCCTCCCAGGATGATTGTGAGGATCAAATGAGACAGTATTTGTTAAGCAGTCAGTGCAGTGCTTAGTACTTTATAAGGCACACATAGAGAAGAGGCCTTAGAGGTCATGAAATCCAAGCCCTCATTTTCCAGATGAGAATACTGAGGCCTCAGAAAATGTCATAAGGGAGGTAGTAACTGGCAATCCAGCCATCTTGACAGTTAAGCTTTTCACTGTTTTAGGGAGAATATATAGGGACAGAGCCTTGGACTGGAGGTCTGGAAGATTTGGGTTTGAATATTGCTTCAGGCACTCACCAAGGCAAGCCATTTAACCTTACTACGCCAGTTTCCCTGTTTGTATAATGGGCACAATCATATTACCTGTATGACTAGGTTGTTGTGACATAAAGTATATAAATCTCTGTATACTTGAAAGCTCCAAACTTGAAGGTCCCATATGAATGTACGAACACTGACTCTGGTGTTGGAGGATCTGGATTCCAATGCAGTTTCTGATTTTATTTCTTGGGTGACCTTGGGCAAGTCACTTAATCTTAGTTTCCCCATCTCTAAGATGAGGAATTTGAACCAGGTGGACTTTAGATCATAAGGTCCTATGTCTAAAGCCGAGACCCCAGAAGTCATCAGATCCAACCCTCTCATTTTACATTTGAAGAGACTGAAGGCCAGGAAGACAAATTACTTGCCCTGAGTCACACAGGTAGTAAACATGAGAGATGAGATTTGAATTCAGGTCCTTGGACACCAGCCTGAGTATGCTTTCAGCTGTACTAGTCTTCTTCTTCAGCTCTAGATCTGTGAACTTATGTGAACTATTACTGTTAAGTTACATGTGCTATTGATTTAAATCTATTTTCTTCATTTTCTCTTAGGTAATTAAGAAGTTTGATTTATCCTTTTATCTTATGTTTAACCTTTTTTCCACATGTATGGGCATCTACAAATGCAATTCTGAGAGAGTTAATATGTAATTGTCAAATGTGTACAGTAATTGTAATTTACTAAAGCAGGAGTAATGGAAGGAAAAAATGTTTCCTGTTCTATAAAATATGGATAATAATACTCTTGGATTTAGACTAGACTTTAGTTTTTTTGTTTTTTGTTGTTTTGGGTTTTTTTTTTTTAGTGAGTTGAGGTTAGGTGACTTGCCCAGGGTTACACAGCTAGTAGGTGTCAAGTGTTTGGTCTGAGGCTGGATTTGAACTCAAGTCCTCCTGACTCCAGGGCCAGTGCTGTAGCCACTGCGCCACCTAGCTGCCCCTCTAGACTAGATCTTAGTGACAATTTAAACTAACCTTTTCATTTTACAGACTAGGAAACTGAATCTCCAAGAAGTTGTGACTTGCCCCAGGGTCACATGGGTAGCTTACAGGAGAGATGAAATCCAATGCTTTTCACACTTACTATGCTACTTTTAGAAACCTACTAAACAGACTTGATATAAACTCATCTGTTTAACTTTTCATCCTTTTGACAACCTGACCCCAAGCTGTCATTCTAGCCTTATTGAACATTATTCCCCTTTCCACACTTTGTGATCCAACCACACTGGTTTTCTCTCTGTTCCTTGTCCATGACACTCCATTCCTTGTTTACCACGTTTTTGCATGCAATGATTCCTCCTCCCCTTTCCCATCGCTCATCTCCTGCCCCATGCATAGAATCCTTCCTCTTCCAAGATGGACCCCAAGCACCACTTTCTACATGAAACCGTCCTTGGTCCCTCTCTCCTAACTGCTAGAGCCCTCCCTCCTTCCCAGACTGCCATGTATTTATTTAACGGAGGAAGCCAGGAGAAGGGAGAGCATTTGATTGTAGACTGCTCAGAAGGGAGTAAAGTGTAAGCAAACTGGAAAGGCAAGAAGAGACCAGGTTGCAAAAGTCCTTAAAAGTTCAACAGAGAATTTTGTATTTGATCCTGGAGGTAATAGGGAGCTACTGGAATTTATTGAGTAAAAGAGTATAGGGACAAAGTCAAACCTGAACTTTAGGAAGATCACTTTGGCAACCTAGGAGGGGACAGACTGGAGGCAGGAAGAGCACCCAGAAGGATATTTCAGTGGTCCAGGGTAGAGGTGATGGGAGCCTGCACCAGGCTGCACCCATGTGAGTGGAGAGGAGACAGATGTGAAAAACGTTCCTAAAGCCAGTATCAAGCGGAGAGTACAAGTGCACAAGAGAGGCACCGTGGGGTATGAGAGCCCACAGGCAATAGAGGGCACTTTTCTTTGGAGACACTGGAGGGCTCAAGGCTTGGGACAGAGTTAGCATTTTAGCTGGGCCTATATGTGTATACATGCACACGTTTTATATATATATATGTTAATTTATAAGTGTTTGTGTGTATGTACATATTATATACATACACACACTCTGTATGTACACAGAGATATATAGAGGTCCTCCTTGTTTTCTCTGTTACAGTATAAATTCCTTGTTAGTTGAGACTGTTTCATCCCACCTAGTGCCTGATACCCAGATTGTTAGTAAGTGCTTCTTGATTGATTTGGTGAAGATCAAATGAGATGATACATGGAAAGTGCTTCCTAAATCATACAACTCTATAAATAAGAACTACATAAACATTTGCAGACTTTCAAATCTAATTGCTTCCTCCCTTTTCCATTAGATTAATGTAAAGCGTAATGAAGTGTTTTCAATATTTTTAATGCAGTGCATTAAGGAAAGGCCCTGTGCAGTGTGCCATGGCTTTTGAACCCATCCCTCGAAAGGATTGGTACAGTGTTCTGGGTGCAGAGCCATCAGCCAGCATGAAAGACCTGAAACAGAAATACCAAAAGCTCATTTTAATGGCAAGTATTTTTTAACCTGATTTTGAATCATGTTAGAAAATGTTTGAATGCCTAATAGTACATAGCAAATGCAAAGTGGTGTCAATAATGTAATTGGAATGATAATTTGATTCCATTTTAAGTTTCAGTAATATGGGGGGGGTTGCCAGCAGTTTGACTGCTTGTCATTAGACTCTTGATAAGCCACTTTCTGCAGAATCTTTGTGAATTTTTTAAAAGCCATGATGAAATCTCTCACTCCTCTACCTTTATCACTGTAACCAAAATGTTTTGCAAACAACTGAAGACAAAGAATTGTTATTTTTAATGTTTATCTAATGCTATCTAGTATTACATGTTGTGTGTGGTAGGATGGCGATGGATTACTTTAAAATTGTCTCTTTAAAACAAAACCTATTGCTATGTTTATTTTTATAGTTCTCCAAGCACTTAATATCAGTCTGTTGCATATATTATGTGCTTCATGAATGTCTTTTGAATTATGAATCAATAATATAAAAGTGATTTTTATGTCCAAGAATTTTGCTACAAAGTAACATTATTGAAGTAAAAAGTTTAAACAGGTGAAAGTAAGTGTATATTTTAGTCATTTGCCATCAGCTAGGCACGTGTGGTCATTGTTCAGACTCTGGTTGTACGTGTCAAGGGAAAACAGGAAAATGAATTTGGGGCTGTGAAAGACTGGATTGCACAGTAGTGGGACCCTCAAAGGGCTGGAGATCCCCTCATTCTGGGGCTAGCACAACTTTCACCTGAACAAGAATCCTTGCCACAGCCTCTCCAATGAGTCAGCCAAGATTTGTGTGAAAGCCTCGGGTGAGGCAGAGCTGGCTCTTTCCCCAGGGTTGCCCATTCTCCTTGTGGAGAATTGTCTGCAAGGTTTTCCTTAATGTGGAGTTTAAAAGGGAAAGGCAGGATCCTTGCAACTGAGGAGGAGCGGGAAACTCTTTGGACTGAAGTTCTGAAGGCAGAAAAAGAAACGCTTCTGATAGGAATTAAAACAGGAGTCATCTGAAGAGGCATGTAGAGATCCGGAGAACTTACCACCCACCTTAGATTCAAGATGGAGAGAGATTCATTACTGTACATCAGTCTATGTGACGGAAGCAATGAGAGGCAAGAAAAGATGGCCCCCTGCAATAGCATGGCCCCATAGAGAGAGGGCCAGAAGTGGTAAGGCTCCCAAGGAGCCAGGGTGAGCGAGCAAAATGGAGGACACCAGTGAGGGTGTCTTTGGTGGGAACTGGGGGAACGCAGGGCTGGACACAGAAGAGACGGCTCTTCTGTTTTGACCATACTTCTCTTCTCCTCAGGAAGGAGGATGAGTTTTGGCCTGGAAAGAGCAGAACCAAAAAGGCTGAGAGGGAGCTGACAACTCCCAGTAGGTGAGGAGACAGAAGGAGCAGGCATAGCTCCCCAGGAGGAATTTGAGTTCCCTGGTTCAGCTGAACATCATAGTCAGAGACAGAGAAAACTGGCAGATGTGACTGGCACCACCATTAGGAAAACTGTTTCAGAGATTGTGAAGAGCCCGAGAGGTGTAGCAGGTCTGCCAAAGGACACTTGTTCTGATTTTCAAAGGGGGGAAGAGGATGGAATCTTCCACAGAGGCCGGCAGTCTGTGATTCCTGGGGAAGTTCTGGAATGTATTATTAAAGAGATGATTAGTGACCCTCTAGGGCTAGGGGAAGGAAGCAGTGACTGCAGAGAACCCTTGTGACTTCATCGAGAATGAGTTACGCCAGAAGACCCTTGTGAGCTGTTTTTGAATGGGCTTCTACACTAACAGATTTGGGGAATGATATATACTCTGTTATGCTGAGAGTTCAACCACAGTGTTTGATAAACTGACGTACCATTCTGTTCAAAGATGGAGAGACTGGTGCTGGTAGTTGTTGTACGGCTGTGTCTGACCCTTTGTGACCCTATTTGGGTTTTTCTTGGCAGAGATCCTGGAGTGGTTTGCCATTATCCTTCTCCAGCTCATTTTACAGATGAAGAAACTGAGGCAAACAGTATGAAGTGACTTGCCCAGGGTCACACAGCCACTAAGTGTCTGAGGCCAGATTTGAACCCAGGAAGATGAGTCTTCCTGACTCCAGGACCAGTGCTGTATCCACTGCTCCACCTAGCAGCCCTCGAGACTCTGAACTCTAATGCAGTTAGATAGATTCTGAACTGGTTGAATGACATGAATCAGAGATTAGTCATTTGTGATTCGTTGTCATTTTGGAAGTGGGGCTCCAACCAAGCGCACCAGGGGTTTGATCTGTGCTTGGCCTCAGTACTGTTTAACACTTGTGTGTTACTTGGATAAAGGCACTGATGACGTAATTATCAAAATTTACAGATAACATAAAACTAGAAGAGAGAGGTGACACCCTAGAAAACAAAGTCAGTATCCACAGACTTCAGCAGGCTAGAGTGGAGGTCAGGCAAGAGGACTGAAACGGCGATGGTAGGCTTGGGACAGTTTAAAAAGTAAATTTGTCTTTAAGAACAGTTAAGTTTTATTGTATTTAAAAATTTTTTAAACATTCTCAGCTCATGTGATTGGATTTGGCCACTGGCAGTAGATTGCCGATCCCTGTGCTGAAGCATTGGCCTGAATTTAAGAAGGTGAAATTCAGTAGGGATAAATGTAAAGTCTTACACTCCACAGTATCACAAGCAAGACTGGGGAGTCACCACTAGAGAGCATTTGACTGACAAAAAATCTGGTTGTGTGTTCCAGGACTTCAGAGTCACTGTGAGATGTTAGCCAAGAAAGTGAATGTAGTAAGAGAGGCCTAGCTTTCAGGAATAAGGAGAGGATAACCCTGCTGAACTCTGCCGTGGTCAGACCTCTCTGGTGGTATTGTTTTCGTTTCTGGGCATCACCATTTAGGAAGGACATCATTAAGCTGGTGAAGATGTAGAGGCAGGGGCAGCTAGGTGGTGCAGTGGATAGAGTGCCAGGTTTGGAGTCAGGAAGACTTGAGTTCAAATCCAGCCTCAGACACTTTGTAGCTGTCTGACCTTTGGTAAGCCACTTAATCCTATTTGCCTCAGTTTCCTCATCTGTAAAATGAGCAGGAGAAGAAAACTGCAAACTGCTTGTGTATCTTTGCCAAGAAAACCCCCAAAAGGGTCACAAAGAGTTGTACACAACTGAAACAACTGAACAACAACAATATGCAGACACCTCTGGCTGAGAAAATAGAAGACGCATGGGGCACATGGCAGCTGGCTTCAAGGATTTGGAAGGCCGCCAGGGAAGAGGACGGAGACGTGTTTTCTTTGTCCCCAGAGGATAGAGCTAGGAGGAATGGGTGGAAGTTGTCCAGAAGTATGGTTAGGCCCAGTGTCTGGAAATACTTGGCAAACAGCTACCTCAGGAGAGATGGGGCAGTTTCCTCCTCAATAGTGGTTTTCAACCAGACACTAGGTGACCATTTGCCCAATAGACTGTGCATATGTGTGGCATGTGTGCACATGTCTGTGTGTGCATGTGTTCATGTATGCATGTTGGGGATTCCCATTTGATGTGGGTTGGACTCAATGGCCTCTTTGGTCCTTTCCAGTTCTAAATATATGATTATGTCAAAAGCTGAATTCGTTATCTTTCCCTGAAAACCTACCTCCCCTCTTAGCTCTTATTTTTCAGTTGGGAGCACCCCCGTTTTCAGATTCATCCACATTTATGCTTATTTTCTCTCTCTGCCTCCCAACAGATCCAGGTTGCCAAATTTCGTTGATTAATACAAATGGCGCGCATGGCCCCAGTTACCCTTTGGTCTTGCTACCACATCGCCTCATTTCTCAGTCATACATCTTTCTTATATTCTTTGTTGATCCTGTGTTGTTACTCATGGCTGCCATCTGGCTGTCTCTTTGACTTCAGGTTGACCAGGAGCCTGGTATTCCATGACTTACACCTGTGTAGCATTCCTTTTGTTTTGGGGGAAATCATGGAGTCATTAAAATGACTTTGCAGTTTCCCAGAGAGCATTCCATCTGCCCCCTCCTATTCCGTTCTGGGCTCACGCCATGCCATTCAGTGGTTCTCTGCAGCGTGTGTGTATTGGTGAACCAATTCCCTCATTTGCACATCCTGTTGCATAGCATAATCTAGGCAGTAGATGTTCTATATCTCTTTGGTTTTTCCTCTTTGGATAGTTAGACCAAACTCTTTTGAGATGTGAGTCGGTCCCTCAGAGGTGCTTTAATTTGCCTTTCTCTCATCAATAGTGATTTTTTCACATGACTGTAGATAACATTGATTTCTTCTGAAAACTGAAAACTATATCCTTTGACCATTTGTCACCATTCCATTGCCCCCCATTTCTCCCCAGTATAAAAGCTCTTCTTTGCATGCTTCTTTTTTTCCCCCATTTACCTCTCTCTTCCCACCCCCACCCCCCTTTTCCCAGTGCATCCCTCTTTTTCACACCTTCATTTTTGTTGGAGATCATTCCAACGTAATTGACTCACATCCATGCCCTCTGTCTACATGAACTCCATTTAACTGCCCTAACAATGATAAAGTTCTTGGGAGTTACGTGTATCTATGTAGGAATGTAAGCAGATTAACTTCATTGTGACCCATCCTTATGATTACTCTTTCATGTTTACCGTTTTATGCTTCTCTTGAGCCTCATGTTTGAATGTCAGATTTTCTATTCAGCTCTGGTCTTTTCATCAGAAATGCTTGAAAACCCTCTGTTTTATTAAATGCCAATTTTTTTTCACTGAAGAATTATAGTAATTTTGTTGGATAGGTTATTCTTGGTTGTAATCCTAGCTCCTTTGCCTTCTGGAATATATTCTAAGTTTTTTACTCATTTGATGTGGACGCTGCTAAGTCTTATGTGATTCTGACTTTGGCTGCACAGTATTTGAATTGTTTCTTTCTGGCTGTTCAAAGTATTTTGTCTTTGACGTAGGAGTTCTGGAATTTGACTGGGAGTTTCCATTTTGGAATCTTTTTCAGGAGGTGTTCGGTAGATTCGCTCAATTTC